TACCTATATATTTTCATCTCGTCCGGGGAAAAAATGCGATATACGCCAAATGTCCGGGTTTTTTTAAATATTTGTCCGGGTTTGGCAAATATTGAGATGGCAGCCCTACCCACATGGAACGAGTGGACCTCTTCGACCACTACAGATCTTCATAGTGGCACATAATATTTTATTTTTTATTAGAAACAGCTGTCATAAACATGTTGTTTAAGTGAAAAGCCAAGCAAGTCGCAGGAATTTCAAAACAAATACTGTGAATAATTATATATGCCGAAACTGGGTAAATATAGGTGTCAATGCACACAGACAGCACCCGTATAAAGGATCAACATTCAAAATGTTCTGCTCCATGCTTTGAAAACTATCATTGCTGGTCAACATTCAGCAGTGGAACAGAGAAAGTTATTTCTCTCATGCTGTTTATATGAGCAACCAAGACTAATGAATTCCATGTTTTTTAATACATTATTAATACAGCAAAACTAAATATTAAATTATTTTCATTTAATAGCATTAAAAACACTACTTCTACACAACCCTAAAGAGAACCCATAGACAGATTTAAAAAACAAAACATACACAAACTTAAAATTTTAAATTAATGTTCTCTTCGAGTGGTCGAATATTTTCTTCAAATTTAAATGTGACCTGTCTGAACAGCAGACATATTTATTAATTTTTTATTTATAATATCAAGTGACGGGATGAACAAGTCGTACTCCTGATGGTAACACGCCTACGCCTGTCAATAACAATTGCAATGCCACTGAGCTTTAAATCAGAAAGATCTGAGGGGCACTGCCACTGCAGCTATCTCTCTGACACATAAGTTTACAAGTCCCATGCGCCTGTAATTTCACGAGGTATAAACAATAGTACATAGCATTACAAATTAAAACTAGTTTGCAATGGAATCACAATTTTTACTAATGCCAAAAATGCCTGGTGTAGTACAATACACCAGACATCAAAAACGTTTACTCCTTACATAACCATAAGGTAGTGGAAGTGTCGGTTAGTGATGGGACACTCCACAGGTGGATATAAAGCATTTTCTGACCAGTAGAAGTCAATTCCAAAACAACTGACTTCCTAAAGTGTGAAACAGGTAAAATTTTAGACACTAATTGCAAAATTTTGGACCAACAATTGCACGAAGTACATCATTTGAAAACACATCACTCCAACATTGAAAATCGAAAACAAACTGCGAGAATTACAATTTTGCTGATGACTATCTAAAATTAGGTAGGTATAGTATACAAACTGATTCGACACAAAAGTAAAATAAATGTACAATGAGATATTTAATAACTGAAAATAGATATGCACTTCGCACTACAGCGTGTAGATATGACTCAAGCTCATTATTGACAAATATTGTTGATTAAGAACCACAAGGCCTACAGCTGAGACACAACAAAAGAATGTCAAAGACAACGTTTTGTAATCACAATAGTTTCGACTAAATCCGTTCAGAATATATAACAGACCATATACCGACAATAATTTTCGATCCAACAACGATCGAAAATTACTAGAAAGAAACAAATTAAGTCACCGAAATTAAAATCAAATCACACAGCTTGGCCACAACAAATTCGAACGACAAAATATTGACAACACTTGCTCCGTGTGACCATATTAAAATCCTCTGATTGATCCTGCCTTAGTGTAGCAAGAAAACTGACAAATCCTGCCACGCTCGCTCTTAGTGCTATGTAAATGCCAAAATACTGCCAACTTCATTTATAATAAAGTAATGGACTAATAATAGATAAAAAAAGACATTTTTGAATTTAAATTTTTTATTACAATAACATTATATGATTATAATATTAGTTGAGGTAAACATCTAAGGGTCGTATTCCAGAACTCTACTCAATACTCAAGTCAGGACTTGAGTATTGCAGTGAGCACTGAAAATCATACTCAAGTCCTTGCCATTAGGGTCGTATTTCCAGTGCTTGAAATCATACTCAAGTCTGCTCAAATCCCGATTTGAGCATTGAGTAGAGTTCTGGAATACGACCCTAACAGTCGCGGCTTTAGACGCCGCCTATTATCACCACAGAACACTATACTCTGGATTATCACCGGCTGGCTGAGGCAGTCTCTTTAGACGAGAGTCACCATGGAGAGTGTGGCACTTGCCGAAAATGTTTGATAGTTTTTAGTTACGTAAATTGTCATGTTAGCGATTGCAAATTGTTTGCCCGGTTTGATAAAAAGCTATTTGTAAAAACCACGAAACATAATTATATAGCCATCACGAAGTTGACGAGGCCGTTTTATTGTTCGTTAGGGGAGCGATAAATTCCCCAAATTGGTGACCCCGACGTGATTATCTCGGCGGCCTCGAACATTTGCGTGAAAGTCGGAATTTGATTTTACGTTTCTCAAGAAATTAAAGTTTATAAAAATTTCAAAATACAATAAAGAAGATGAAGTAATACAAATTGAAGGCCTCATACTTCTTTCTAATGCTCGCTGGAGTTTCCATGGAGGACCGGCTCCGACATTTGTCTTTGCCGTACAAAATTAAGTAGGTAACTGTAATAAACCTACTTTATGTAATAGACGGCCTTAAGCCAGATTGTTCACTTTTAGTTCTCTAAGAATCCGCTAGATGGCATTGACCCATTTGGCGTTATTTCTGAATCGCGGTGTTAAGGTTTTCCCTCGAATGGTGACTATTCGAACACAATTTTGTTAATGGGAACACACGAGAAAACCGTCCGCGATCGCGCCCACTTTGTTATGAGCCGGCTTCATCCCCTTCTCAACAAGCATAGCAAACTCTCCCTTCGCAATAAGGTGAGACTGTACACGACCTGCATCCGCCCAATCATGACGTACGCCAGCGTCGTATTCGCTCAGGCAAATCCCGCGCTAATACACCGCCTGCAGGCTCTCCAAAATAGATTCATGCGCAACGCGACGGGTGCCCCGTGGTACCTGCGCAACGCTAACCTCCATATAGATTTACGGCTCCCCACAATAGCCCAATTCATGAAACAGGCATCGAGGAAATACTCCTCACCACCCCAACCCCCTCGTGATGGCTGCATCCTCTTACGACCCCCACAGGGAACAACCCCACCGCGTAAATAGGACCCGTCGGCCAAGGGAAGTCCTCAACGACCCTGACGACCTTATCACTATCGCCACTTTGAAGGCCAACCAGATCGCTAGTCTGTCCCGTCCCTCACGCACCAACCGTCCTCGCCGGCGAGGTCGTCGAGCCCCTCATTTCAGCACGTACAGTGGTAGATTCTCTCCTACAGCACGCCCTTCTGGTGGAAGTCTCCAGTAGCGCCCTGAGCCGAGGTCCGTGCCCACTTGGGCGCCCTCAGGCCCGCTACTTAGCTTTAAGTTTATTTTAGGGGTTATGAGCCTTCAGCTCGCCCTTTTTCTCCGGTGGCGCAGTAAAGGCCATCAGCGGCCAACTGCAAAATATCCTTCATAAAAAAAATAAAATAAAATAAAAGTTAATGGTAAGAAAAGGGGTTTTGAGCCTTCAGCTCGCCCTTTTCTTCGGTGGCGCAGTCAAAGCCATCAGCGGCCAACTGCAAAATATCCTTGAAAAAAAATGGTAAGAGAAATCTGAGAATACAGAGAGCTCAGTAAGGCCACCAGGTGTTGAGTCCCTTCTTGGGAACTGCTACCCGGATCTTCTGATATTTCGTACGCTCATATTGGTGCCCATCACATAGGGTGAAAAACCTCATCTCGCGGAACGGTTTCCAGAAGTCGCGTCCCTTCTGGGAACAACTGCCCGGACCTTCCGCATATAGGGTGAAATTATATTGGCGACATACAAGGTGAAAATAAAATCTTCTGAACCATTTGCAGTTTCACTTGGCTTGTTTTGGTAACCTCATCCAACGGCAGAAAGAACCTCCCTCCTTTATATAACTTAATTATTTATGGCACATTTGGTGACTCTATGGTTAATGTTAGAAACAATCAATGAGTAAATAAAGTTTCGACCTGTATTAATATTGAAAGTTGACGAGTGGTAAGTCGTGGTGTGGGCGTACCAGTGCTCGGCTTTGTTTATCAATTGCTGATTTCGTTTTTCTTCATACTCGCGACCGGTCTAAGTGGGAGAAAGGATTGCGAACTAAGCACGCCCCGACCGGTAATTTTACAATTAACAACCAAGTGCTCTGATAATAATTCTATTTAAGCTGCTTGTTAATAATGCGAGGGATGTGCGATGTTAAAAAACACGTCGATATAGTTCATCACAGTGTTTCTAACAATGATGATCAAACTAGCGATTCATCAGCAATCGATAGATTAAACAAAATCATAAAATGTTAGAATCCCCACATTTCCCCACATAGCGTCAATCCCCACAAAATCCCCAATCTAGTTGAAATTCCCCGCAATTCGGGGAATTCCCCACAAATTGGCAACGCTGGCTGCATTACAACTGTGCAGTGCCACCCAATTCACCAATACTTTTCTAAGCAGTTTTTTTTACAAAATTAGCGTGCACGAACGCTAATTTCCAGACGCTAGCTAACTAATGCTGTAGGATGAGGCTCTTTGCGCAGACGCAGATTTTTTACAATTTCATTATATTTGTTTTGATTTTCATACAAAATATGAGTTAGTTAGTATAATTTTCAAAAATTATTTTAGGAATTTTCAGCCGAGCTGCTAACGAGACGGCGACGAATCCACAATTTTAATCTGGTCACACTTTCGGTCAAGCCGCAAGCGTTAGTTAGTTTACTTAGTTTAGAGCAAAGTATGTGGATTAGAGGTTACGTGGAACTGTGGAAGTGGTGTTATATAATATTTATTACTTAAGATAATATTTAAAGTACTACCATTAAAGTAGCAGTGTCATGTATTCATACTAAGCTTAGTACCGAGTTGCTGTGAATGAAAAACTTATCTATGTATTGGCCATAATGTACGCAACGTACATACGGACGTAAGTCTTTTCAAAATATATTCAGCAAAATTCTAACGATAAGCACCCCATTCGACCAGTATTTGTTTATCCAGGTTTTTAAACACAATAGGAGGTATCTTTTTTCTGACACGCTAGGACAAGTAAATAACACGTGTTATCTGGAAGGCACTGTAATATCAGATATTTTATAATTATTTTTGACGAGGACCGTAATTATATTTAAATTAAAATTGCAGTTAACACGCCTGGCCACGACAGTTGCAGTGCTGCTCATAGCTTTAAATCGCAAAGATTTGATCGGCACTGGCAATGCGCCCATCATCCTCACATCAAGTTATGAAGTCCCATGTGCCTTTCATTACACGAGTTGTGGTGACGTGCTTATGTAATTGAGTTTGAAAAGTTTTTTAAAATTGCATTTTTCGGAAGTGCCAACTGCATAATATTCTGCTTTAACGCTACAACAAAAGAAGATACATTTTGTTATACGTACCAATTTATTATGCAAAAGCCGAACCTTCTCAGAACTGCTTAACTGCCTCTGGCTGAACGGTTAACATGCCAAACTGCCACCCAGAGGTCCGGGTTCGATTCCCGGGCCGAGAGTAATATTTGTATGACCTACATTTATTTCTCTCGTGAGTGGGTGTAATTTGTGGTTGTTTATTTGTGTGTCCATGGCAACCGCGATACAGTGTCTTCCTAGTGCAGGGTCTTTTTAAAAAAAAAAAACGAAACTATCCGCCCAATCAATGTCGGATAGGATTTAAAAACAGCAGATCCTTTCTCTTCCACACTCTAGAAAAAAAACATGAGTTGTCTGGATGATGTAACAAGGTACATAACTATGTCTTACATCTATATGTAAACATTTATCTTCCCATTAGAAGCACCCTATTCTGATCATTGGTTGGTTCCAATCAATACATAATTTTTTAAATTGGAGATTGTGTTACTCATTTGTAAGTATGTGACACTTTACTGTATAATATCTATATTGCATAGTTTAGGTGATATGAATAGAGTATTCACTCAGTAAGTCGCTTGAATACATTTCTTTAAAACTTTAACACACTGAAACCACTGAATTACCTTACAATACGAAACCGGAGCTAAGCATGGACAAAATGTAACCGTGACAGGCTGTTAACACAGCATCTTGAGAGACAGTTTGCTGTAGTGTTTGCAGACGCTATGAAGTAACATTTTTTCTAAACCACTGTTTTGATTTTATTATTTTACTGTAAAAAACTACTACTCACTTCCAGATACCCTAATATGAACATATGCACCTACACAGTGGAACTCCTGACTATTTTGGACAAGGGCTAGAATCAATGCAACATGAACACACAAGGTCTAGGAGGGCCCACCCCAAATGAAATGGGACATAACTGAAAAAGATATGAACATGGAACCAAGCCATGTGAATTTTGACCACTCGTTTTTGTACGAGACTATTGACATGAAGTTACATCTATATTACATGTTGTCGATGGACAGGATGCTCTTCTGAAACTCAACCCTGGTTTGTAGTTTTTTATTTACAATTCTTGTATTTGTTGAAACACTGGTTATATAGAAGTGGATAGTGATAAAATAAGTATAGTTTCACTATGCCCCTGGCCATACATTTAGCATACAAACAAATCACAGATATATTTTCTATTTACTAACATAAAATCTATAATCATATTAATGAATAAGTATGACTAAACTACAAAAAAGATTTGTGTAACTTCTAGAGAAGCTGTTGAGGAGAAGAAGGAAGTCACAGTCAAGTAATTTAAGATTATATTTTAAGGATAAAACTAATTAATCAGATAAATGGAACTGAATGTACTATAGACCAAAAGTACATTGTCTTTGAACAATACAAAATATATAAAAGTATTTAACTTTGCATCAATTACCATAGTAGGCTAGATAGCCTACAAGTTACAACTTGTAAAGTATTTTAAATCTTCCTAATATTATTATCACAATATTCCTTTCAAATAATAATCAACTTTTAAATAAAACAGACTTGTTAAACAGTCTAGTGAAATAACAAAACATAAATTAAAACTTCCAGAGCAAAAATTAAAAACTTCTATAAAACATAAGTAAAAAAGCAGCTTAAACTACATTTAAAAACCAAGTTAAAAAGTTTTTAAAGCAATAATGTTAGGAGTACATTAAAAATTTTATTATTTTTTTATTTATTATGTAAATGAAGCAAATTGTCATATAAATCATGGCAGTCCCGTGACTGTAAAAACTTGTTTAACTCTTGTAAATGTTGATACTTTTGTTTTTTAATTGGTATGGGATTCTTCGATAATTGTCAGTTTTGATTGTTAATTGTTAATCAAAAACATTGAAAAGATTGAAAATTGATTAATTGTTAATTGTAGATATTTGCGATTAACGATTGATCAATTGTTAGTTGCGAGAACCGCAATTAACAATTGATTAATTGTCAATCTTTAATTGCCAGAACAATTAAATTTTGCCCAACACTGGCTGGCACTCACAATTACTACTTTTACGGCGGCGGCGGCACTGGAGTATTCGCGGTAATGCTGGAGTGAGAGAAGGGTAGTTATATTCGCAGTTACGCTCTTTTCGTTTTTTCTAAAATTTTGGAGACTTTGATAATTTTTTTAGCACACAATTGCGTAGGTATTTGATATTTAATAATATAGATTAAAGCAATGATATTTTAATTTTCAATATCATTGGATTAAAGCAAAAAAAAAAAAATTTGCAATTTTTTCTTTTCGCATATGTACTGAATGCCGAACGACGATATGTCCTTCATGAATACTATTTTTAATAACGTTTGGGAAATTTTTAGAAGTGTATCCTTGAGCAAGTTAATAGTTGCTTTTTTACATTGTGATGCTGACAGGAAAATTATGTTGTAAATAATTCATTCATTTTTTTCAAGATAATAAGTTATGTCGATTATTTTTGTTATAGACCTGATTTATATGTATGTACTACAAGCTAATTTGTTTTGCACTGCATTTCAAGTACAGTGTATCTGACGGTAAAGACTACTATCTAGTTTGATTTAGATGTTTCAGTTCCGTGTAGGTACATTTTAATTACGTGTTTCAATAAACTGTTTTAAAATTTAAACTACGTATATGAAATTTGAATGCCAATTTATTATTGAGAATACTATATTATTTGGTATGAGTATTTAATTAAACTGATTATATTTGGTTTTTCAGGTACATTTATAATTCTACAGGATTTGCGTTACTTGGAGCATTGCCCAGTAGTCTGCTTCACACACTGTATAACGGCGGCGGTGTCACACCGCGTCAAACACCGTTTCGTCAGCTACAACAACGCCAGTATCATCTCTAGGAACCCTGTCTTTATTTGGATCAAGTTATAAGAATGCAAGCACTTTTATTAAAACACTGTTAAGAAGAATTCCACTTCAATATTCACCAACGAAACTCAATTATATTTTATAGACAATTTTCAATAGACATTTTCTGGTTTTGAAAATGGTGTAGTAGTTGGGGTTTTTGCTGTAGCAGCAAAAGGTGCAGTTGTGTTTCTTGTTAGATGAACGATGTGCAAACGGGTCAGATTCAGGCCACCGAGATTAATTTGAGGTACAATTTGTTTGTTTTGTGACACAACAAATGAGTGAGTGGGTAGTATTCTTAAACCATCAACGAAGCTGCTTCGAAGTGCTGCTAAGTAAAAACATTTCCGTGGCGCTTCCAAATCTTGCTAAAAACAAAATTACAAATTCTCGAGGTGAAGTATTGGGTAACAAAGTGAGGAAGTATATTTCGATTGCTCCTTTTGTAACCGACTTCAAAAAAGAGATTTTCAATTCGACTGTATGTGTTTTTGCATGTATGTTACACGATAACTTCGCCATTTGTGAACCGATTTTGATGATCCTTTTTTTGTTGGAAAGAGGGAACCTCAGTAGTGGTTCCATTTCAATTTGAAGAAAATATTCGACAACTAAGGGTGGTAAACTAGGGGATGAATGTCTGTTAAGGTCCGTTTTTTTAGTACTCTCTACTGAGGGTAGGTTATCATGTAACCATCTTCAGTCTTTCCAAGCTTGCACAATCTTCGGTGATTGCATTGGCTATTGATTTCATCGAAAGCAAGGAAGCACAGGTTTTCTCTCCATCAATGTCCTTCTTTATTATAGAATCTGATCGATCATGTGAAGCCTCATTCACATGTGAATGCATAAAGGTAGATTGGTGTAAGGCTTTGGAGCCCCCAGCGCGTACAACCAACAAATGTGCGTATCTCTTTACATGTTTGTATAGGGGCAACAGCGTATGTACGAGTTAGTTCATCTAGAAGAGAATCCAATGACATCCAATGTTTAGTGGGTCCTTCAATTCCGTTTACTGTGGTAGAGGTGGTCAGGGTTATTTTCCTGATTGATAGCGAGGAACGAGTGTTGCAAATGTTCATCAGCGTTTCTAAAATGTTTGTAATGTATGTACAAAATAGATATATTTGATGTGACACGGAATTATCTCGAAGTTTTACTTTATATGACTGTAAACTAATGAATTTCCTAACCAAATCTGCAAGTATCTTAACTCTGGAATCCTGCAAGCCAAGCTCTGAGAAAAGAGCTAATCATTGTGTCGGTTTTAAAAGTCCAGAACCAAATAATCTATGACGTATGGTCATAGATTCTTTGGTTCTGGCCATAAGAGCGAGATATTCTTTAAGTTCCAAAAAATTTTGAGAGGCATTCACAGAATTGCTGTCCTCCCACGTGAAACATGCATTAAATAAGCGAAAGTCGGATCTAATATTTTATTTGGTGGCGACGGAGTTCCAATAACTCACATGTACAAATTGGTATATTCATTTAAAATCGGTACCTACTCCGTAATTAACAACTGTATCGCCACAGACTTAACGGTAAGCCTCTACGTTATCCAGAAAGGCAGTTTTGACTATAAGTTCAAGTGTACAACTACCTGAACTGCTAGCCCAGTAGTAGCTTGGTCCTGTCCAGCGGCCAGTTAATGAACTAAGCGGCTGAAACCTGCAATATATTGCTATATCTTTCTCCTCTTTTGCTTATATTTGCCACATGGGCACATGCTTTGTTTAATAGACAACATCACACGAAGTTATTTTCAGTCATCGAGTGTGTTTTCCTATGCACTGCACATTGGCATTCGTTTCTGTAAGCATTGTTCAGAGGTCCGTAAAAAGACATTATGTTCTGTGAGAGCTGTGTAGTGAAATCAGAAGCATAATGAATTAATGTCTTTTTAAGCTGGTAGCGAAGCTGGAAGCGAGGTATCTCTAAGCTACGGTTGTTATAGTTCTCAATTAGTAACAGCACAGCAGATTAGTACTTAAAACAAATTAAAAACTTGCGTACTCTATATAGCTACGAAATGTTTGATCAGTCTACAAATAATTCTTCATTTATCCAGCCTCTTTCGCTTCTTATAACTATTCTCACTCTTCGTTGACCTATTTGAGCTAGCACTTTCCCTGGATCTGGGTCTAGACAGGTTTATACCTGTCTCACCAGCATTGTAAATGTTGTTGGAGTGGAACCCATCTTTTACCATCAGGTCATCGAGCATAGCATAGAAATGTGTTATCGATTTTTTCTATTGTTAAAGGCAGACATCCTATTATTGGTGTACGGTAACAGAACGGTTGCACTTTTAAAAACGTGTACCTGGTCCAATTCTGTCGTTTTGCTGCTAGTATCAAAGCAAATTTTTTATTTTATTAAGCTCTGGTTACTTATAATACTAATGTTTCACTTTGTGACTTGTGATTTAAAACAAGATAACTACTAAATTGTGGACAGCATATGAAATAATCAGTTCTTTAGTTATCTCTCGACTTAGTAAATGGTATTTGCGAGCTTCTTCATCTTTAAAAAAAAATAGAGAACAACAACTTTTGCATCTTTAAGCTTAATATATTTATACCCATTCTTTGAGCCAATTACAGTTATCCACCAAATGACTGAAATCACCTCTGTTTGAGAATGTCATTAAAGCTTGAGTTGTTAATTTGTACATATTTGGTACGATTTTCTGTTGGGAAGCACATACTCGCTTTTCTTCCTTTCGCTAGATGTATTTCGTATTTTCTAGTTTTTCATATAGGGGAAGTACGTACAAAATGAAATAGGGTTTTGTTTTTATACC